TCACGATGATTATAAATATATCTTATAGAATTTTACATATTTCTAAGGAGTGTAAAATGTTAGTTTTTATACCATAATATGGTTTGTACATTCATGTGTACTTCAAACTTTAAATATATGTTCTATATCATCACCCACATGATGTATGACAAGGTTCATAACTCTAGCACACATTTTTAGCTCGACTATTCGATAAGAATAAGTAGAGCTATTGTTGTCACCCGAGCGTCGGCGTCGGCGTAACCACTTATGTTAAAGTTTTTGTAATACCACAAATATTTCGAAGTCCACTGGCATATAGCTTTGAAACTTTGCACCCATGTTCACCATCATGACCCCAACCTGAAGACAGGAAAAGGTAACTGTATCAAGCATTTTGACAGAATTATGCCCCTTTTTCGACTAAAAATTTACGATATACCTCAAATATTTTCTAAGATATGGCTTTGAAACAAGTTGAAATTTTATACTTTTCTTTGACAGCATAATAGGACTCTCTCCAAGGCCTATGACTGTAATATGGATTTAAATAAATATCTTGCCCTTTTCTTTTCTTTATCAAGGCTTTTTTTACTAACAAGCACTAAGAATATTCGAGCGTTACTGTCCAACCGACAGCTCTTGTTTTGTCAGAATTGTCCACCCTTGAACATAGTTTTTATGCTAAAAGATGCTACTTTTTTACTACTTAACTTCTTAATTTCTTCAAACTTCAAATAATTGTTACTTATTTTAACCCGACAAGATTTATCACTAGCATGAATCACAGGAACCCGAAATTCTATCCAAAACAAAAAAATAACGATTAAAAAAAATCCCATATATAATATGGTATATACATGGATAGAATTTCGGGTTCCTGTGCATGAATTTATCAGAAATATTCCCCTGGGCTAGAACTTATACTTTGCAGACTCGAAGATTTTATCAAAATAATGTACAATTTAGAAGTGGGTTTTCAGAAGCCCAAGATCGGCTGGCTGTTCGGGCAGCAGTTTCAGTTTTTCATGTAGGAAACAGATTAATAAAAAAAGTAATTCGAGAAAAATATATACAGTATATTATATTTTTTTCTAGAATTACTTAATACTCACTGTGCCGAGTCCCTGTGCTTTGCCCCATGTGGTGCCCCAATGGTTGTCTCGTCTGCGGATTTTAATGCACGACAAAGGTGCAGCAACCCTCTGTCAGGAATCACTTCGTAAAAACTGTAGATAGTTCAGTGTAGATAGTTAGTTCAGTGTAGATAGTTAGTTCAGTGTAGATAGTTAGTTCAGTGTAGATAGTTAGTTCAGTGATATCGAAAGCAATATAGTCTAACTGTCCACACAGGTGGTGGTTATAGATGGGGTACGGGTCAGTGAGCAATTAATGCGGGTGTGCATCAATGGTTTTGCACGAAAATCATGAAATTTGTGTGTGCACATTTGATTATCTGATTTATTGATAATTTGTCGTAATTATATCAATAAATCTTAGATCTATTTCAGATCGTTATTTTGTCGTTTTGTGGAAATTTCTAAAAAAAAAAGAGGTAATATTTTCATTTTGTTTAATTAAACTGTTTCCCTTACCCCATCCCACTTACATGTATCCTCAAATGCACGACCAAAAACAAAAAGTAAATAAAACAATTCTTTTTTCCTATTATTAAAAGTACAATCCCCTAGGTATATTTCAGAAACAATAATTGTATATAATACACTAAAGAAAATTGAAGGAACCTCATATATACAGGCTGGTGAAAATGCCCGATCGGGCTTATAACATAAAAAAAAAACATTTCTAGACAAGATTTTTTTTTTTTAAACTTTGTTTATGAGAATAATATTTGACATAAACAGAACGAAAAATATTTGGCTACTACCACTTTTGTGAGAGTTATTACCCCTTTTTCATAACACATAACTTTTGAAGTCAATATGTTATGTATGCAAAATGTAAAACACAATAGGTTAAATAACTTCTTTATGGTCTTATTCATCGCGCCAACACCTGTCCGCATACATTCATTCAGTTTTCAGAAAAAATTCCAAAGTACAATTTTCAGTGTCAAAGAATTGTCAAAATATAAATGCCAGAGACAGAATATTTAATCCAAACATATAGAGTAAAGGTACTGGCCCAATAATCTAGAGGAAAATGAAGTTGATGGACACATTTCTATTAAGATTTTTTCATAACAACATAATTTTTATTAACTTCAAATATTTTGTTTTCCAGAAAAGTTTTTTAAAAAAAGTAAAAGTAAAAAAAATTTTTCTTTTATTTGTATAAATTATAAATTTTTACTTTTTGAAAAGAAACATCTTTATCTCTGAATACTCCCAAACCCCTTTTTCGTGTTTACCCGTCAGATGTTAGTAAAAGGTGAAAAGAAAAGCTTAAAAAGAAAAGTACATGTTAAGTTTGAACCACAGTCAAAAGCTTGTCTCGTCATATTGTAAGGGAGAGCCTGGTTTATACATTGCATTTTCAACAATATCTGTGCTTATACTGTCACAATACTTACATTTTCTTAACATAAGAAGTGTATTTGTTAATTTGTAAATTTTAATGTAAATATTCTGGATATGATGTACATTGTCATATATTCTTCAAAACATTATTTTCGACATAGCAGATGATTTTTTTAAATATTGACAAGTATACACCACTATCAATACATTATACTGTTTTTAACGACACTTTAGTAGTCAGCCAATATCACGATTTATAGCGGAAATTGGCATATATGTACCAACATTAACAAAACGTTTAATTAATATATATGTCCACCATCACCAAACACTAGAACCCTTTGAACGAAAATGTTTGGTAATTTTTGGTAGGGAAATCTCCTGAGTGATTTGGATTTAGCAACAACGATCTCTTGGTTGACTCGGCAACAATCTGTAATGCATGCATTAAGTATAAGGTAAGAATGATAGTATTACCTAAGCGCAAATGTTGTGCATCTTATTCTAATACTGTTTTACAAGCAATAAAAAAAACCGACATTTTACAACTATGTCTTTTCTAAAGTAAATAAATTTTTACTGTTGATACACAATATTATTGTTATTAATGCGCCACTTAAGTTAATCCATAATACATTTTAAATTTCAGTATTTTATGCTATTAACACTAAACCATCTGCAAATGCTTTGATTGCAAATACACATTGCTTAAAATCATAAGGCATTATCGAGGACCTCATGCAATTTTTGTTGCTAAATCATTTAATGTAAACATTTAACAGCATCGATGGCAATGAGCAACTTGCTTAAACCATTAATTTTTAACTGAAACATAACACCTTTTCATAAAACAGACCTGATTACCCTGATTAACAGGACTGCTTAGACAAACATTTGGTGCTCTACCATTTTATCTGACCACTTACGAGATCATATACATGAGGTATCAATGAATAAACAAAAACACAACACCCCCTAAACAAAAACAACAAACACCAAAAAAAAGTTATCTTTTTTCTAGTCTTGATGATATTGGCGAGTGTTTATAAGATAAAATGGTCATAATTATATTTCCTATTCTCCTAAAGCCTACATTTGGACCTTCAAAACAATAATTAAACTTTTTCTAATTTGCTTGTAGAAATTTTCATCCTGTAGGGAATTACAATTAATAAACATTTACAAGTCTCCAAAAGAACATCTTTTCGTATTCCTACCTGCTACTGGAAGGGAAGTTATTCCTTATTGACTATTAATACGAAATCTTCAGAGTTACATCGCCAATTATGATAGAATTGCATGCATACATTTTGCTCCATATTTTTAAACCTTCGATTAAGGGACAAATTGTAAGCCATAAAATATCCCATTTGATCTGAATGCAACTCCTGTAGTCAGTTTGTATACGAAACACAAGTAGGTTCATTACCGAAATAAAAATAATGACCACATACGAGGATTGATAAAAAAGTTCTTGGCCCGATGCACTTCCGGTAGTGACAGAATCCAACTAATGGTCTTACTTTTCAATAAAATCGCTCTCTACATCAATGCATTTTGCCCACGTGTGCTCCGACTTGTTTAACCTTTCAAAATAGAACTTTCTTTTTTGGTCTTTAAAGAATTCATTGACCGCCTCCATGACACATTCATTGCTTACAAAACGTCTACCACGAAGCTTGATTTTCAGTTTCGGAAACCGGAAGTCAGAGGGGGGCCAAGTCCGGGGAATACGGGGAATGGGGAAGACTTTCAAAGCCGCAGTCAGTTGCAGCAGCCATTGCAACTTGGGATGTGTGAGCTGGCGCATTGTCGTGCAGGAGCAGAACGCCTTGAATCAGTTTGCCCCGCCTTTTACGCGCGATTTCTTGACGCAGACATATCAATTCGTCTGCATAGTTAGTACCGTTTATGGTACGACCTTGCTCAAGATAGTCAATCATGATTTTTATCCCCTGACTATCCCTAAAAATAAAGCCATCATATTCCCTGCTGATGGCAACCTTTTGAATTTCTTCGGAGGGTGTGCGCCAGGGTAAACAGGAATGGGCCATTATGATAAACCTCCGTCACATTACTAAATCATAAATCCCTTCAACTAGTTAGATAAAAAATTGTTCGAAACTTCATAGGATAGAAGGAAGAGTAGCACACAGATGAGTTTTATCTAAAAAATAAAATGAATAAAAAGCAAATTCAAATATACAATAAAATAAAAATAAATATAAAAGAAATAGTTTTTGTGGTGTTTAAATTGAAGATGTATTCCCTGTTATTGTAACAGAATACTCTTCATTTCATAGGACTAGTAATCTTTTCTTTAAACTAGAAAATGATGTCAGCATTTTATCCCCTATAATATATGCATGTTCTTTAACAAGGATTGGATATGACTATATGGCTTGAAATATTTTACCGACAGACAGACACCAAAAAGCGCAGCAATATACATTTGTATTTTCTTTTATTAACTCAATCAAAGTGAACCTGCGCTGACCGGCTTTCAAGCATACTAAAGCAACGCTTAAGGTAAATGATTTATCTCTGGGACACTTTTCAAAATTTATATGTAATCACAGTGGTTCCCGCGAAAAGTAAGTGCTCTAACCTTGTCCACCTGACTTGCGATATGTTATTTTGGTTGACAAAATTAAAGCGTCAATGATTTTATATCAAATTTTATATCTCTATTTTGTACTCCTCGGACTATAAAACTGAATATTAACGAAATGGTTTGTTTTAGTGAGATAAGATTGGCCACTCAATGTACAAGAAAACTAAATACGACCATACTACTGAGTGTATTTGATAAGTTTTGATAAAAAAAGTCAATACATTTAGATATAATTATTAACACATGTATTTGAAGGTCTAGTTGCTGTAAAATAACTGTTATATATATTTCATGGGAATAATATATGAAAAGAATAATGGAGACAAATATAAGCAACGTATTTAACAAACTTAAACATGTTAAAGCGAATAAGTCGACAGTAATGTTCCGGTATGATCAGGATAAATACCGGTGTGGTTGTATTTTAGGGCGAAGATTTGACGATGCAGTTCTAAAGGCAGCTGACGATGAAGGGGAAGAAATTTGTACTTGTAACGTTCAGAATGAAACAGTTACAAAATACTACGAAATGAAAAATGACTGTGCTAAATGTAAATTTGCGTGCAAAAATGTAGAGCTATCGGAAGAAGAAAACTTGCAGCTCAAGCAATATCTTTTAGATTTGTCAAATTATAAGAGCTGTCTAATATTTAATACAGATGCCGCACTGTCCCCGTCTATTTCGCAAGAAGAAGAAGATAAAATAGTAACTTGTTGTAAAATGGAAAGTAAATGCCTCAGACTAATGGCTTATATTGAATGTTATTCTGGAAAAGCAATTGACAAGGAATTTCTGGATGAATTAAAGAAATCAAGAAATACTCTAAACAAAGATCTCTCCAGCTTCATTCCTGGTGAATATAGACAGTGGAAAGATATAAAATTTGAAGCAATGGTAAGACATTGATTTACATGATTTATGAACATTATTGTTTGAATACCGAACTATAAATTTAAATTGTATCATAGTTACCCGCACTCCAGAGCATGTCCAATGATTGGTTCATTTTGTCTGGGGTTAACATATTGTAACGACAGAGAAAGGGATAGCGAGAGAAATATCATATTCAGATGCTCGTTCATTTGTTACTTTTTTCTTGGGTTTCATATTGTGACACTTATGGAACGTGTTTTTATGTTTGACTATGCATAAAAAAAGAGAAAGAACACCCAAACACTCGGCAATCTGATTTATACTCGGGGCACAAATTAGATAGCCCCGTTTTCGGTGCTCTTTCTATTACTAACTGAATTTAAACATGAACATACTTACGACGATATATTGAACACAGGAGCAATAAAAAGGCTTTACTGATTTTACCCAATTGAAATAGAAAGTAATACTCAAAAGTAACAACGTGCATAAGAAGTGCCTATACTATCACTAAGTGAACAATGGTACACGTATTTTCTAGTGTTATCAGCAATCTGCTATGTATAATGTGCTAAATTAAAACTAACATTATCCTAAACTGACATTATTCTTTATTTCCATTGCTGTGTGTGTAAATTTTACTATCGGCAAACTATACCTAACTGCCTGTTTTTTATTTAATGAGTAAAAACACATATTACATGTATACAGTTTTTGCTTATTTTAGAACTTATGTGTATGTGGAAACAAGAGAAAGCCACAACGTTAGTATACGTTTTATTTCACTTGAAGTGTTTATTGAACTAGATGATAGAAAATTTTGAATAATATTATATTGAAGAAATATAACTGTCTCTTTGTAATACTAAAATATTATATGCGACAATTTCATTAATGCTTCAAAATTACATCATTTATATATGTGCAAAGCAAATTTAATGTTCATTTAATCTTCCATTATAATTATGTTTATCAACATTTGATATTATTTCAGATAACGTCGCTTTACTAGACACCGCTAGAACGGATATTTCTAAGGAGTTCGTTTCCAAATTGAGTGGCTTTCTTTGTGAATCTGACATTAATGTCCACACAATTAATGAGGATCATCAGAATGAGTACAACTCCTACCCGTTGATAGTTGTTTGTTTAAATGATAGCAGATTATTAACGGATATTGATAACTCTCTTGAAAAAGTACAACGTATGTTGTTTTACTTTTCACAGGAATGTCGTAACCTTTAAGTTGGCGTTTTTAATTAAAGCAACTTAAGACATGATAATATCATGCTGTTGACAGACTCTTCTGACTTTTTCTTTGTAATCAAATACATTAAGCAGTTTCTTTTTTATCTAGATTCTTGTCCAATAATAAAACTCGTTGATTATTTACTTTGTTTAACGATAAGATACGAATTTACCAATTTTACTTCAATTGTATACCATGTTAAGCACAATTGAAATACCTTTAATATATGTTACGTAACATTTCAGGTGAAGACATGGGCCGAGTTGCTTTAATTACCTTGCATATAAAGGTGGATGATTATTCGGAGCCTGGTGATTCTGATAGAGCTTTAAAATCGCAAGACAAGAAAAGAAACAGACAACTGGGTTTGATAACTGATTGGTTCTACAAAACGGAAAATAAAGAGAAAAATAATAGCACAAAAGAAGAAATAATAACATTTATCAAAAGAAAAAGATAATGAACAGTAAACAACTCTTAATGTTATATGAAGGAGTATGTATATATGTATCATTGACTATGATAAATATTGATACCAATATATTAAACTGGTCAAATTAGAAATAAATAGATTAGTGAAACAATTAGTGCAAGGAAAGAAACCAACTTATGGCCAAATTGACAGCTTGTAAAAAACAATTAGCTATTCATAGAAATACATATATCAATGATATAATATATCTTAAACTGTATTTGCATCATATCCATTTATTATGCTTTACACAATTTGCTACATGTATCTAAAATTGTATGTCCCACATGGTTCCTCATGGTTATTATTGAAAAAAAAATGCTTTAAGGTTAAGCAACTAAACGATTAACGAAAAGATAAAGTTGTACATTACATTTCGATTGTGTATCTTTCTTTGTCAGAAACAAGCCGCAAGACCAATGCTTAACAAAGCCTGCAACAATTTCAATTTTGTTGTGTTGGACTGTCTTTAGGGATTCTGTTTTTCTCTATTTTTTTACTTAATCTAGAAACAGAAGGAAACGTGTTTCCGCAGCCAAAGCGAAAAAAATAAAATGCCCCGACTTTTCCTAGAATAATAATTAACAAATATCTGGAAAAAAGTGATCCATTTGAAGCATTTAAAACAGCAAAAATTACATAGAAATTGCAGACTCGGTTTGATTGAGTCCGTACATGAGGGATAATGAAAAGATGCAATATCCCTCGCGCCCCCTAGCACCAGCTTGCGCGGTACTCAATTCTCAACAATTTTAAAGTGCTGAACTCAATGATCCAAAGGACCAGAAAATTTAACAACACTAGACGACACTGTGAGGTACTGGGCAACTTTGTACGGCTTTCACACAACACTTGCTGTTGTGATATATAAATATCTAGGAAAAAGTGATCCCTTGGAAGCTTAAAACAGCAAAATTACATGAAATATAATAAACAAGGAAAGGATCAACAAGGAAAGGCGGCGTTCAATAAACGCAATCCCCACTTCAGTGAAAATTGCAGACTCGGTTTGATTGAGTCTGTACATGAGGGATAATGAAAAGATGCAACATCCCTCACGCCCCCTAACACCGGCTTGTGCGGTACTCAATTCTCAACACTTAAAAGTACTCAACTCAATGATCCCAAAGGAGCGGAATAATATGACAACACTGAAGTGAAAGGTAACTTAGATATGGGCATTGTTACTTTAATAAGGATGATATCTGTTCACAAGTTTTCTTTTCTAAGTGACACCTGGGCAGGGCCAATATTGACCCAAGGAGCATGATTTATATGATTTTGTAGAAGTCAAGAAGGTGTTGCTTAATGCCAAGTATCTAAGCTTTTACATTTTACATATTTTGTGGCATATGGTAAAATGTTCCAGCCACCTACCTTTATTTGATAGCCTTAAAAAATCAGCCTTTCAAGAAGGTTGTGGAAAGTCATTGTGACTTATTATATTGGTATTTCTTCTTTTGAAACATACATTTTGTGCAAATATACAGTAAAACAGATACAACCATTTCATATCAGCCGATAAACCAAGATCAGCACTTCCATTAGAGCAAGACATAGGCAGTATTGTCAAAATTAACAACTATCGGTACTCAAAACATCCCTTTTTTCATGTCAAATGTTTTGATTTAATATTGCCTTTAGAGGCTTTCAACTGGCCTGAATCAAAATAGTTAGAAAAAATAGGAAAGTTTCATAGCAAAGTAGGAAAAAGTAGGAATATAATTCAGTAAAAAAGTAAAAATAATAGGAACTATTTTACATGAATGGACCATAATAAGTAATGTACTTTTCATGTTCAAAATGCTTTCCTGGATTGGTGGTTGTTCTCACCATTAAAGAAAGTTTGTCACTTGCAAAGTTTCTGCAGGTGAAATGTATGACCATTTGCTGCACTCAAATTTTCAGTTTGACAGCATTACGATCTTATCTTTAATATATTATTTTATTTAAATGTCCACCAGTATTGGGAGGCATAATAGTTTTTGCAGCATCCATTTCAACTTTGTGTCCTGTCCATTTTTTTGTCAGTTTTGGAAAGATTTTAAAGTAATTTTGTATAACATATAAATCACATTGGCATGATGTGTTGTGAGCAAAATCAAGGTTTATACTTTAAAGGTACATGTCACACCCTTCAAAGGAGATTTTTTTTTTAAAATGATGTTCGTGCTCCATCAACAATTTCTGGATGGATTGAAAAAAATTATATGCATAAATGTATTCAACATAACGAAAATATGTCACATGCAGAATCAGGTCCCCAGCTCAAAGGTCAAGTTATAATATGAATGTTTATAAAATTACACGAATGCCCGGTCAACAATGCTGTCATTCCACGATTGATTTGGCAAACTGAGAATATGAGCAAGTATTTGTTATTTTTTCTATATTCTTGTAACACTCCTCTTATTGTAATCATGTCTTTGTTGTGAGTCAAAGATCATGATTCCTCTACCAGGCCCTTCTTGGGGGACAATTGTCTGTTTCTTAGGACATATCTTGTTTTCTGTTTATTCCATTTTATTAAATTTTTTATCTATTTTAATTTCTTCACGCAAAAAGTATGAGTAGTAGGAGGTTTTGGTAAAAAATAGGAAAAAGTAGGAAGATTATAAAAAGTAGGAAAAAGTAGGAACGATTGAAGACCTGCCTTTATTATTTTATATGAATCTTTAGAACAAATGTTAATTATATATTTTAATTTTATCATATTAACTTTTTAAGGAGTTTTAATGATTCAGTGTGGCTTTGACACTGACTAATGAAAGTGCAAACCTGCGTTCTGCACATCACTCTATTGATATAAATATTTTTGCCATAAGGTTTTGATTTCCTTTTATCGGTTTAACAGATATACAGGGGACACGAAATTTTGAAATCAATACATTCTGACTAAATGTGACCTTAACCATGAACTGAGGAAGTTCAAACCTGTTCAAAAGATAAAGACGGGGTACAAAGTTGCTAATAGACGGACGGACGGACGTACTGACTGACTTTCTACCAGGTGCATAACAATATTCGGGCGTATACAAAGTTTAAACATGCCACTGCGTATATAAAATGTAATATACATATGATGATATTTGAATAGAAATAATAGATTAACCAAAAATGAATTCTCTGATGAACTAGACCAGACGGTAATTTCATTCAGTTAACATATTTGGTCACGTGACCGAAACACGCTAATGCATAATTTTTAACTTGCATGTCGAGAAAATAGTTCTCCGTCGTAACGAAGACAATTTCCTTTGAGAACAACAACACAATTATTGCAAATCGAAAACGTGTAGACAATCTAAGCATAGGATACGAAATCAATAATTTAAATATGTCGAGATAATCTTTAGAAAATTGGAAATTTGCGTAGTATAAACCAGTTTCGTAACTGACAGTCTACATTCCAAAGGACCTACTATAAAACCGTTCTTGGTCATGCTCGTTTCAAACGAACGTGTCTTTTAAGACATTTGTTGAATAATTCAAACGAGTTAACTGCCCCCATGACTTCACTTATTACCTGTTTTAAATAAGGCGCTACTAATCTTAGTTTTTCGTGGCCGAGTGGTTAAGGTCTAGCCCCTCGAAATTCATGTAAGGAAGCTATCCAGCTAGCTTACGGAACGTCGGTGGTTGTTCGTTCCTGAAATAATGCACGGAAGTGCACCTGAGGTCTTCCTTCACCAGTTAAGCTGCAAATGTCGCCAAATGATCTTTAATTATTCGGCGTGACGTAAAACCCTATTAAACAAACAAACACACAAACAAACAAACAAACAAACCATCTTAATTTTTTTTAAAATTTATTTTGAAATTTAAAACCTTGGTATGACAAATTTTTTAAATTTTTGACTACCCGAAAATACCCCCCATTTGATCAAATAACTTTGGTTTAAAGGAAAATTTCTTTTGAGGTAAACTTTTTGGACCTTCACCCTTTTGATATTTTTAAGACTTTGTAATTACTTTTCATTAAATCCCATAAAAAACAGAAAAAAGTTATTTTTGGGCCTATTAAAATCAGATGTGCAAGCTTTTAAAAATTTTAAAACACTAAAACATTTATTCAACGTTTACATTGGGGAATTATTAAAAATAATTTGTTGAAACGTAAAACGCGGAAAAATCTATCGGTATATTTAATATTACAAATATGTTACGTCGGCATGGCTGAGTGGTTAACGCATTGGACTAGTATTCTTATGTTTGCTGGTCAAGTGGATTCGAACCCCCGTCAAGGACAAGCCTTAACACCATTTCAGTGAGCTGGTAAAGATTTATAATTTAATACTCCCGAGCGATCACTTTTTCCAAAATCATTTTTACACCTAGAAATGCTTAGAACCGGTTGGTCAATTGAGTTTATACGATTATGTTCATTGCTTACAGCTGTCCAAAACAATCGAACTGAACCAAATTCTTTAAATCTATAAACCAATATTTATTTATCAATGTCAACTTGTAAAAAATACAACCGAGTTGAGTGGGCAAAGAAGCCTTTATTACCTTTGCCAGTTAAAATCGTTCAATTTGTGGTATATCCTGGCCTGTTTAAATGCATGATTTGACAATACTTTGCCAACTAAACCAGGTGGATCCTAACAAACCCGATATATGACACACAAACATACAACCCTCTACCTGATCAAAGTTTATGCATGTATACACTGTGTACCATTTGTGCTCATATTGTATTTTTTTTTCGAAATGGCTCTTCACGCTTCCCTCCAATTTTTCCAGTTATTTCTAATGAATTCTTATCATCGGCGCCTGTACAACAATATTTTGTAAGGTTGACTGGAAGCTTGTATGAAATAACAAAAAGTCTTGGATTCGAATTGTAATTGAATTGTTTTATTATTCGTATTTTAAGTACGATGCTTCTTATCTGATGTATACGGGAAAAGCCGATGTTTTACGATTGGTGTTCTTCATGGTCTCTCTGTTACAAATTCCTGCTATGTTCAGCAGTAAATCAGTGCAGATATTTATTTGAAACATGTAGAAACGGTACACAAGTGGACAGGAACATGCAAACGTGACAGAGGAGCGGTTAATTTGACTATTAATACCAAACATAGAGCTTTAGTTCAATTTTTGTGATACATGTATGGGAAAGAGGATTAAGAATGTGGAAGGAGAGAGTATAATAGATGGGGAGGAGAGAGAGAGAGAGAGAGAGAGAGGGGGGGAGGAAGCGGGAAAACTTGTGATCAAATATTTTGGCTCCGATACATTTCATACATATATTGACATGAAATGATTATAAAAGGAAGAAGAAAAGACAACGCCTGAGAAATGTAAATAACAAAACACAACTTGAGTTTGAACTTGTTGATGGTCCATTCCAGGCAACCGTTTGTTAATAAAAGGAGTAGGCACATGTCGATGTAATCGCGATGCGATATAATTTCCACTCAGTTGTAATAAAAGCTTATTCATTGCTTCGGGAGGCAGACGTAATGGCTATTATGTCAGAACTTTAATTAATAATGCGATGAAAATTGAACATATTTTTAAAAACATTTAAATATGACATGCTACAATATGATGCTTTACTGTTTCGGCATTTTGGTGATTCATTTAAATTGCGAAAACAGTTGAGGAAAATCAAATAACTTTCTTTTTGAAGTTATGTATTTATTTATATATTTAATAATTGTTTCGACATAAAGTATTCTTAAATACTGATTTCTTTCATGCCCTAAAGCTTCTGCATGAATGTGTACAAATGTACTTCCAAACCCATAGTTTTTAATAAACCAATTTTCACCAGTTGGTACTGTTTTGCTGGCCCTCGAATAGCACGTATCGACGAGAAAAAAATTAAACAAATTTTTGCAAGGCCAAACAAAAAAAAAGAAATTTAACATGTTCCCCCGACATCAGTTTCTCAAAATATTTTTTAAACCCCGGGAAAAAAAATTTAACCCATTGAAAAATTTCCAATTTGACTCGCTTTGTTTTTACCCACTTAATTTAAACCGCTGCACTTTCCCAAAAATTTTGGGAAAAGTCGTCCTTTTAACCTTTCCCGGGGACAAAAATATCTATTTTTGTTTTTTTTTAAAAAATAAAATACTAATTTTGGGCCTTTAAATTTAAAAAACCCTTTGCACTTTTTTATTGAAAAAAAACAATTCCCCCCAAATTTCAGCTACGTTAAACTGTTATTCGACATTTTCTTTTTTGCGAAATATGTAACTATTTGAAAAATGTTTGTCATCCAACCGTTGTATAATGGTATCATATTATTGTAATTTATTTTTCATTGTATTAATTTATTTCATTATGAAGAGAATTTTGATCTCAACACACTTGTGACTTGCAAATCAAACTTTTTAATTTGAAAATATTTTTTTACATTCCTCTTCGTTTCCGAAATCGCAAAAATATTCAAGTGCCCTTCATTTTTTTTTTAAACCTTTTAAATAATGTGATTTGCAGATTAATCATGATTTAATTGGGTTTTTGCAAATTTATATTTAGTTTATCGTGAATGCACGTAAGTGTATAGATCATCTTACAATACGATTTGTCCGTAGTAACGAATGTTGCATTTTGCGCATTCTGCGTAGCACAGGAAAGCAATAACGAGACTACAATTAATAATAGTTAAACGTTTTAAAAGAGGTGAATCTAAACTTCATGTTATGTCACCGTGAAAACAATAATTTTGGTATGAAATATAGCTGTCAGTACATAAAATGTGAATTGATATTTTTTGAGAAATAGGAAAAAATGATCGAAAATCGCAAAGAAGAATACTAACACTACTGACATCTTCAAAGTCCCCTTTTTAATCAGTCCTTTAAATTGAATCAGCAAATTGTTCAAGATGAAATATTATTACCCCTGTATTACATAGTATTACACAATTTTCATTGTATACTTCCTTTGAATAAGTGGATTGGCAATGCTGTGTCAAACAGATTGACGATATAAAAGTGTTTATACAAATCAGAAAAAAAACAACAAATACAATTAATTCCTGCACGATTCTTTATGAACTGATAAAAATTGCCTTAAAGCTAATACAATGAATTTTCGATTTGGTATCATAGTCTTGCTAAAGCCTTGTAACAGAATGATTCAAAGTTATATTTTCTTTAATATCATTATAATAAGGTATTAGTGAATTAGCACTGTTCATTTCTATAAACTTCTTTTCATACATGATATTTTCAAAAGATACAAAGCAAAATTAAGGCGACAGATACATCATATCATCTATGTGTAGTGAAATAGGTATCAATAATATAGGTTGACCCACATGACGTTGCTAATGATTTTGAATATAAACTAAATGTATTTTAAAGACTATTCATACTTTATTTTCCCTCCTAGATCACGTGCCTTAAATCCACTGCTGGAAAAGGGTTATAATTCGTTGATAGTTTCTCTTGTCGCAGCAAGTGTAGGCATTTTGATAAAGAATTACACTAACTATTCACCCCAATGATAGATTGTTTAAAAAATTGTGATTTTGAAAGCTGTTTTGAAAAAGGCAAAAATGCCAAAGATGATGTATAATGCTCTCATAAAGCATCGCCAACAATATTATCATACAAACTAAAGTGACATTTTTTTAACTCTGTGAAAATTTTATAAAATTTTTAGGGGCAGACCCACCCCCCAAAAGTGTTTGGGATGATAAAATTTGGTTTTCTGCAGTCAAAAATCCCCCTTTGCCCATGGGTTTCCCCCTTAATTTACACAGAATATGCTGTAATAAATTTTGTTTTCTCTAAACGTACAGTACCCGAAACATAGACATTATATCAAAATTCAAAGTCAAAATTGCTTTTTGTATACTAATGTATAGAAAAAACACATATTTTTTTGTAAATAAATACTATATGCCTCGATATTTAGGATATAGCCTTGCCTAGAACTCTATAAAAAGTTTATGAATCATGCACCTAGGGAATAAAATGCCTCCAACTTGGGGGTCATATAATATGTTAAGGATAATTAAGAAAATAAAAACATTTTTTTAGACAAGTAAACTTGATTGGGTCTCCAATTAAAATATTAATTATGATTACTCAAAGAAATGTATAATCAGGCATATATAAATAACTCTGATAAAGGTCGTTTTTATAATTTTCTTGTTTCCAAATATATTTACCTTTTTCAATGCTCTTTAGCTTATGCATTATTTCACCTATCGTACTAATTAGCTCATCCTTTAGTCCATGTAGGACTTTTTCACCATCCAGTACAAAAACGACACAATGTTGAAATGGTTTCTTGTGTTCAAATTTGTCATCTATATCTTCGCCAATGTAGGAAGGATCAAGAAAATTTAAAATTGAAATCACTTCATTCTAAATGTATAAAAACAGAAAGTTTAATAAAAAAAATAGCAAATTTTCATAATGATCTCTTTTATATGATAAATTTACGATAAATTTCTAGAAGAAAAATAGCTTAAATAGATTTTGTTGAGATATGAAAATGCGTCAGTGGCAAAGTTGTAAAGCCGTTGTTTGCAAACACTTTGCCCCTTACCCCTATTGGTTTGAATCCCGATAGGCACCTAAGTTCATTTCATGTGAGGCGGCTATCATTTGCCAACTCAAAATGATACAAATTGCCTACACATTTTCAGTATCCGCGGCCTCATTTCCAGACTGGATAATATGATAGCACATAGAAGGAATCCCATTCTCAAGTGATGATCATACAGCGCAGCAGATACTAAGGCAACCCCAAGTTATAGGAAATAATGAATTAACGGATAGAAAGTGTGTGGCGGCAAAGCCAATTGGTTAACGCATCGGACTAGTAATCTAATGATCGCTAGCCGCATATGTTCAAACCCCGTCAGGGGCATGTCGTTGTTTCCTTAAGCATGCAACTTTACACTCATTGCTCAGTACTGGTTGTTTCCAGGAACGGATTCGAAAGTGTGTCTATAAGCTTATAGCTTCCTACACAATCGAACTAAAATATATTTTGAATAAACCAACTGATAGAAAGAAAATGAAATGTATAGATCAGCCTTGCAATGGTACACTTAAATACACGAGTGACTTTACAATCATAACAAAACATTTCCCGCCAATCAAGTATTCCAACGTTTTGAAAGCCTAATTCACAGAACAAAATGTATCTATTTTCCCTTTGTATATGCACAGTGAAAGTTAATGAAATTGTTGTGTGAGGAATTGGTTGAAATCTTGTAAGCAATGAAGGAAGAGTTGCACATTTTCTCTTCTATATAACAGATGAAAACAAACAAGAAATGTACCTAATGTTGCTTAAATCTTTATATCACAAAGCCCTGGACATGCAAGAAGGTATTAAAGGATGTAAAAAATCTGTGACACTTTTATTGCAATTCAATAATTTTATCTTTTCTTATGTGGTTTCATAAGAGTTATTACAAAGCTGACATATATAAACAAGCATTCGTGTATCGGTGTCCTAATGTAGCTGGCACTGTGTATGTGCGCGCCCGTGTGCGCGTGCTAGCGTGCGTGCGTGTGTGTGTGTGTGACTCAAGTGACACCACATATAAATAGTAACACGCAATTCTTTAAAGAAACACCAAGAGCACAACCTTGAACCGGTTTACAATAAAAAAGCACTACCGTGAGTTGCTGTGGTTACTAAAATATAGTACGGAAATGCTTCTGTAAAAAAATACAACGAAAAACCGAAGGGTCAAAACAGCAGTTAAATCAGTATCTTAAAGGAAGGTATAGCAGCAAGAAAATCACCCAAATAGGACAGAAGACGAAAACTAAGATAATTCAGACCCTATGATATTGATAACCTTTCACGTTATTTATATAAAACAAGAAACATGGTATTGCCGCGAAACCAGGTTTTCAATTATCACCATTGTAGAACGTGTTGTTGGAGTTGAAAAGCAAAACAAGCAACGTAAATTGTAACAATGTGCTATGTGCAATGTTAATGATAAATAATGAGGAAGAAACAAAATAGATAATCATGTACATGTATTTTGTTATAAAAGCAGATGTACAAATTAATTTTGTATTGACCTTCATCCTGGTTGGCGGGGGTTCGCTTAACCAATCCCAAACGAGGCATTCACATAAGCTTGCTTTATTTGCTATATACCAATTTTTCTTAAAAAGAAAATCTCACTTGTAACTTTACTTATCAACCTGCATCAATCATTAAAAACCGAAATCATTTTTCTATTTTAGTGACTTTGATCATATGGAGCAAGAGCAAGTCAAAATGAGGCTTATACAACAAAGTATAATAAATATATCGCATTTATAAATTTAGTTATTGACCCGAAACCGATTTACTTTTTTAAGTAACAGTTACATTGATCTCATGGGTACAAAAACTATATGAATCGCGGGTTTTACATAAGCTTAACTTATACAAAGTTTCATTGAAATATCTCATTCAAAACTCTACTTATTGAGTGGAAGCCAATTTTCAATTTTAGTGGCATTGACCTTTATCTTGATGCCCGAAAGCAATACCAAAATACAAAAGCTTACTTTACGCATGTTTTTACAGAAATATCCCTTTCGAAGCTAGTTATTGACCTGAAACAAATTTTCTATTTTTAGTATTTTAGTAACAGAAAACTTGAACTTGATCTACCGTAGCTAAGAGTAGGCAGAGCGGTGGCCTAGTGGTTAAGTCGTCTGCCTATCAACTTGTGGATCATGAGTTCGAACTCTAATCAGGTCAAGTTTTGTTTTTCATATGACACCAGTACTGGTTGGTTCCAGGAAGCGGACTCGGAAGTGATTAATATAAGTTGCAAAAACTTGTCTTGCAATCAAGCTTAAATAAATATTTGACAGAAATCAGCTAGCAGGAGTGCGTCTAACGAGATGGTTAATAAGGTCAAAACTTATCGGATCACTAAACTACTAACATATGCGTAGGGGCACTTGATGACAAAGCTTATGAGCAAGGTTAAACAAAATCCCTTGAAAAATGTAGGAGATATTGGGCACAAAAGAAATTGTTCGATATATATATATTCATATAAGGAAAACACAAAAAGGCCATAATTAGGTCAAAAAATATCAAATCATTATCATTTAATTATAAATCCCGACAATATGCACCAGGGCACTTGATGACAAATGTTCTGTGAAATGTTGGTCAAACTCCTTTGAGAAATGTAGGAGTTGCGCACGGAAAAAAATGTTGATTCCCGCCCAACCACTGACCTACTTTAATCAAATAACCTTTTTTCCCTTCGGACAACTAAGAAAAGCAAATGCATAATCTATAATAATTGTAAATCTGCTGTAAATGAAGAGATTATACGGTACGTGAAGCTTAAGCAAACCTTATAAATTTAGAAATCATTAAGATGGAGCATTGTGTAAATCTTCCATGGTAAATTAATTAAATCAATATAAAAAAACATTTCCTTATCTGGAAGATACCTTTAAATATAGAAAGATGTAAATCCAAATGCGAGGACACACTATCCAAGTTGAACAATTGTTAGTTCACCAGGATTCAAATTTTACTCTAGGTGTTTTACTTATATTCTCAAAGTAACACACAATGAGGAAATATTTAAACCCAGTCAAAACAGTACTTATTCTAGTCGGTAATTTCTAGAAACAGACCGTACATGTAACTCATTTTGAATTATGTAAACCTCTTATTCCGCATTCGTTTAACGTATAAATGGCATTCAAAGCCTTTGATTATTTCTTTTCATGGAAAGTTAAACATGTATTTCTAGTTTTCATTAATTCAAAAACACATTCATATACTTATAAAAATGTCACTTTGATCTTTAGCCAATGTGATATTTAATATTATATTGTTTATTTTCTCATTTTGCATGAGGTAGTTGCTGATATTGCAGATCTGCTACTTTCAAATCTAATTTGAGATGAATATGTAATCTTCATACTTCTTTTTACTTGTCATTTCTTCTCCTATGTTTTATGAAAGCTTTAAAAAATCCTGGTTTTGATCAGCAGCAATCAACAACTGAATTTTAAATATCTTATTTTACAATTTCTTTTCTTTTTTTTCTTTTTTTTTTGAAATTCATAATTGTAAAACTGTTGTTTTTAACTTTGATAAATCTTTAAGTCCTCTTAATTAATTGTTAAGACTCATTCGTTCAATGCAGATAATAACTCAAAAATCTAAAAAAAATCATTTAATTTAAAGAGCTATATTACATACCCTTCTACCTGGCTTTATTTCTCCTGTAGCAGTCGCCTTTGCATGTTTCATTTGAAAAGCCCCACAATGCCCTTCTTCTATCCCCATCGTGTCATATAAAGTGATGTTTTCAAGTTGCCGCTCTAATTTTATTTGCAGAAACTGTTAAGGAAAACAAAACCATTTGTACAACCTGTCTTTCATTGGTACTTTTGTTACTTTAAAGTAAGAATGAAAAGTTGGAAGTCAGTAAACATTAATTCGAACTGATATCGTATCCTGTGCAAAAGAATCCAATTTCTTTGACTCGCTTTTATAAAAGCTATAATAGTTGTAATCGTTATATAGGGCATTTCTTCATTTCGATTCATTGTCAATCCATTGGAGTGATTTTTAATAAAGTTTCAGTTTAAATGATTTACAACAACAACAATAATAATAAAAACAGTGCTTTGGTTTCAAGTTTCAAGGAAAATGTTTAGTTATGTTTAAGTATACCAACATTGAACTACACAATTTTAAGAATACTTACACGCAACGTAGGTGATTCATAACTAGTGTGACTTCTACAGGAAATTTGATTTGATACAATTGAGGAATACGAATTAACTAGACTTGATTTTCCGCTTGCCGTCGGGCCAATAAGGGCAACATTTATATTCTTGTCTTTCAGTTTGTTAGAAAAAGCATCAAGAAGATCTTCTTGCACCTGTAAATAAGTATAATCTTAGTGATAAATAATCAGTGTTTACAAAAATGAATGAAAAATATAATTTAAATAGTTTGATAGTGCTTAATAATTACAAATATGTTGAACATTTTCTCAACAGGTTTCCGAATACAGACATTGTAAAAAAATCGGTTACGTATGACCTAAATAGAAAAGTTGCTTGATATAACTTGTGTAAGAAAGATAAAATGTTCTCATCTCGATAAAACAGCTTCATACCACCATTCTTTCATTCACTTATTCGTTCATTTTATTTTAAATAATTTAGACACATTAAATTTAGTTTAATCCTTAACTTTGTACATACATGTATTTCAGAACAAATCACGTTATATTGTAAACTATTTTTGGACCAGATTACTTATAAAACATATTATTATGAAAATAAAAAAATTATGTAGACACAACCACTATTATAATGATATTCCGAGACTTCATTTATTTAATTGTGATTTGCGTGTGTGACGCTTTACTAATTTTACGACCGAATTACGAAGACAAACCAGATTTTTTTTCTTGATAGGTCCGAACATATACTGTGTTCAAACTTTTAAATATCAAATTTATATATATATTTTTTGAAATTATGTTAATATTGTCTGTTATATACTATGTATAAAGTTATTTAGAAGGACATTTGGCAGGGATCATAATTGATCCAAAGTGTCACATGTGACAGTGTAAATAGTAAGACAACAAGAGACACCTGTGACTTTTGTGGTTGTATATGACACATTGCACGAACATTTTGTTCGCAACTGACGTGAAGTTTTTGCCTTAATTAAGCTTTTTTTAGGCTTCATAGAATATCATAATATTATGTCACATCTCATCTCTTTTCTCAAGCATATGTGTCGCACACTGTTTTGTTTGTTTGTTTGTTTCATTTTACGCCTTTTCCCACCAGTATTTCAATCATATATATATATGCGGGTAGTTTCCTAACCATCGTTCCTGGAGAGTTACACCAGTACCAGACTACCTTCCTTCGCTCTAAACTACCAAAGCATCTCCCGGGGATGGAACCCACACCAGAGAGGTAACTGGATTAGAAGTCATCGACTCTAACCCCTCGACCACGAAGGCACACTGTTTTACTTTAAAGTTGTTTAAAAAACAATGTCCCTGTAAGGGCATTTTTTATGCACAGAACACTGTGACGTTCAGGAAGCCTACCTGAAATTTAGCTTTTGGTTCTAACAAAATTACGAGAGTCATTAATTTATAAAATGAAATAAGCGTCACATCGTCTATTGTCACATATAAGATTTTTCGTCAAAGCTTGACCCTTCAATAGTAATTTCAGTGCGCTATAAATGTATCTATAAGGCCACAAATAAGATCTCACTAAAGTTATGAAAACTAAAGAAAGGGGATAATGTGAAAGATATTAGAAACAACTCACTTTGTCCATGTCTCGATTGAACTAGAGTTCTCTGAACGAATGTGATACAACTGTCTACAACTAATACATATTTTAATCTTGACAAATATTTAAAAAAAAAAAGAATACATTTGTCACACTTTTGTGATAAATGTGCCAAATATGCCTTTACAATGCCCAATTAAAATCACGTCGCACAATTGTATGTAACAATACAAATAAAGTATGCAGTTTATCCTGTCACGCTGAATAAAACACAACAAGCGTGTTATTAAATTTTTAATTAATTATTCGAAGACAAAACGCTCAGACTGAAATATTGTGAAATCATAATATAAGTCAATGATTAACTATATTTATTAAATATTCTTAGCAATAAAAACGTATTTTGTAAAATTAAATATCATTAAACGAACACCACTAAGGCTTTTTGACATAACGGGTCTGGAAATACTTTTTCTAGATTTTCCTACAATGTAAGTCTTAAACAATAACTTGTATTTAAAGTTTCAGATTGTTCCCTGACCCTGTCTTCAGTTTTCAAAATAATCATTGAAATTAGCAAAAATGGCCTTCAAATGAGAAGTGCTGCAACTCTGATCACTCAGACTGGGTTTTAGAATTGCACTTCCTATTGACTTTAGATTTAATTCTTAGCATATTGTTTGTCATTTCAATTTTAAAAGCTTGACTAGGGCGTTGTAAAAATTTCAATTTGATATGTTTAAGGCATTTTGACATCATTAAAAAGTCATATTAATATGTTATGTATACTAAAATGAGTTGTAATAGTACTTATATGAAACAATCATTGTAAATTAGGAAAAAATGTATCACCATCTTAGTCCAGCCATTTCTTAACAGTATCTCATGATTGCGCCATGGTTTTGCGAGTACCGGTAATCGTTCTTCCTGTTTTGGTGGCGTTGGTGTTTTAGATGAATCTATATATTTAAAAGTTCAAAGTAGTGAAGTTATTTGTAGAACATGTAATCGACAACTTATCTATTCATTGTTTGATAAAAAAGAAACCACATTAATTCAAACAGCAGAATTAAACAACTGTTCATCAAAAACTGCTTGTTCCTTTTTGATTTAGAAGAATTCATGAATGGATGTGTTCATTCCCCCATGATCACGTAACTTTCAATGCAACGCTCCTATGTTATTACATAAACATCAGTATGTGGTTTTCAAAATGTAGCTTCTCAACAACCCTCCAGAGACGTGCAAGTCGCGGAGAAGGCACATAGCAGGTCAAGGTCAAGTCATCTCAAGTACCAGAGATTATTGGTTGACCTGTCGTGCCTAACTCTGGAGGGTGACATATGCTTATTCCAGCGCTGAGTATAAACAAACTCAAAATCACACATCAATATGTGGATAAGCTAGGTAACACTGGGCAAAATTACATATAGGACAACAAGGGTTATGAAGTAATATTCAAGCAAGAGTACCACAGCAAAATTATTAGAAATAAGATGTATATGATAGTATAATTAATCACTATTAATCAAATGTAAATTAAATGCATCTTTAAATGTACGTAATGGCTTATCCCGATTGAAAAATACTTGCATATCTATTAGTTTTAAATTTACTTCTTAGGCATTATCCTCTGTATAAATATATAGTTAATTTAATTTTGTCATAGATAGAAAATCTCAATTTTCAAAAGAATGTGTTGAAAAATATAAGATATTAGTAATCAATGTTCAACAAAATATGAAAATAGATAATATGCCCTATCAAAACTTTCTGAATGAAAATATAGAGCATATACTTCAAATACGGGATTTCTTTTCATCGAGTTGTATGAAGGTTTCATGGATGGTGGTAGCCACGAGTGAAATATGATAATTTTCATACCATTAGATAAAATGAATCCCGTATTCATAGAAAAACTCGCTTTTTCTGTTTCGTATATACTTTCTCTTTTTTTAACCTTAAGATTCACAACTTTTCCCCTACACTTTTGTGTAATGGCTTAATTTAGAACAAAAAGTAGTCCGACAAGATACCAGAGAAAATACGAGAAATATATTTCAATGCAGTGAAAAATATTTTACAGTGGAAATACGGAAATTAAACAGACACATTATATGTCATCAATATTTCTCAATATTTCATTTATAAGTATATAATAAATTGAAACTATTAGTAGTAAAGAAAATTTTTAAATAATATTCAAAATAGATTTAAAGTCTTTACTTACAAGGTCCCATTCTGTAGTTTGAACTACAGAGATAACATCATGTACTGACTTTGTTACCTACATAAGATAACAATTATTTTATATGATATGATGTGATTAGATTTAATAAAGTATCAACCAAAAATCCCTTCCGAACGACACACTTAATGTACATCAATGTCTATACAAAAAAGTGGTGATACTGAGCATTTCATGTGATTATATGTTACCATTTACAGCAATAGAAGTGTTTATTCTTTAATCAACGGGAACTTTTTAAATAACTTCAAATTTTATAAGTGAGATTTTTACTTAAAGGGATATTATTACATAGCAATAAGTATAACATTAGTGCCATTTAAGCAGAATTCAATCTTACAATTCCACACATTCAAACATGTAAACATACTATTAAAAACAGAAAATCTTAAATTATATGTATGTAATATGATAGAAATTCTGCGCTTGTATAATTTATTTAAAGGTACATCACGGCCTTATATGTATTCCTAGTTAATTAAGTTTGTTTGTTTTTGTGTTTTACGTCACATCGACACAGAATAGGTCATATCGCGACGTTCAAGCTTTACTGGTGGAGGAAGACCTCAGGTGCCCTTCCATGCATTATTTCAGGCACTCGTGAGCGGGCACCTGAGTAGAACCACCGACGTTCCGTAAGCTAGCTGGATAGCTTCCTCACTCCTAGTTAATTAAAGGTAGTTGTACAGCATATGTTACATGAAATATGCCTTAAGTGGAAATGGGTAATATTGTTAGTAACAACAATTTATAGATTGTAATGATATAAAGAAGTTTATATTTGCTAGATGTTATTTTCGTTTAATTCTTGGGGCTGTCACAGGATTTAGGACCACTGGCTGTTCTTTGGTTTTAGTTCTTGTTGGTTTCTTTCTCCCTTTGGATTAATTACTTATATTTATGTGGTTTTTCATCTGCTAACAAGTGAACAAAGCAACTAGACGCTGACAGAAGTTTTTTTTTTCATTCTCGTTTTGTATAAAGTATCAGTGACTTAATTCTGCATTTTACTTATTTAAAGATTTCTTTTATACACTTAAACGCATTCACGAGTTATTTATTCTGAATTGTCGCTGCATATAGTTGTACTTCACAAAGGAAAACGTATTTGACCTAGTTTCGGGCATCCGCCATTTTAGCGTGGGTTTATTTCTTTTGGCGTGATACATGACATAGTATTTTCATCTAATTCTTTAAAGTTAATTAATATACAATAATTTAATTTCACAGTTATAAGCACATTCTGTTGATATTGTTGACCTTTGTAACCACCTTTCTCTGACAAATGACTATTTGCGTAATTTACATTTCTGTAGTGCTAGCGGCTTCCCAAGTTATTAGGATGGCTGTTCCATGTAATATTCTTATTTGAGATCATTTTTTCACCTAAAGACGGCAGAAATGGTGTGTTGTAAATCATCGCATTAATATGAATCTTGACCATAACAGGTAATAAGTGGGCAAAATCTGAAGAAGGCACACCATCCTAAATCTCTTTGGGCGGAAGCACATATTGTTTTGGATTTAGAAGTTGACATTGTTTTCTTAGATATTGGCGGCAATGATTTATGTGGCCTATTAATTCAACCTGAAGATCTTGTCAAGCAGTTGCTTGAATATACAAAGTTACTCACCTCACACGGTTGTAAGATTGTCATGATTTCAGAATTACTCCTTTGGTAGACGCCAGGGGTATACAATGTCAATGTAGATCGCACTTATTCCATGAATTATTCAGCTTGCAAACAAACGTCAAATCTATATTTTTGGAACCATTCATAAACAATTTCAACAGGCGTTTCCTTTCAGACTATGTTGCATATGATTGGGTTCATATTGACCGTTAAAGGCATGCCGCGTTACTATAGTTCAGTCAGAGGTGCCCTACTGTATGCGGACACTTGCATTAAATATGATAAACAAGATCAACAAGGAAAGGCGGCGTTCGACCCAGCAATAAGAGCCAGTGGCAAGGAGCCCCGGAGCACCCCAAACAAAAACATGACAGGGCACAAAGGCAGAGCACGGGCAGGCATACCACTACATAAGAATAAATAATTAGCAACTGATAAAGAACTGAAAGAAAACAAATAAATGATTGAATATTAGGCCCATAAAGTCAAAAGGCACAAGGGAAGGGGACATGAGACCCGGGGAAGGGGGGGGGGGTAAATAAAAAACTAGTTGCAAAGGGGAAGATACTTACTGTAGACGTGAAAACAACAAGAGACATAAAAGTTTCACCAAAACAGTATAAAACAACATAGACATACATCTGAGGAACACAGAGGGGCGCCGCCTTTGAACGGTCAGTAGTATAAATACTGCTTGGGAGTTTAAACCGGTTAATGGTGCACAAAACGTCACTCTCGGTGTGATAAGCTTTTCAGTTGACTTCGCGCTTTGCGACACGCTCTGGTCGTAGTTTTTATTTAGTTTGCACTGTGCGATACACCTTTATGTGTATACTGTCTATATTTCGCATTGTGCGACACGCTTTTGGTGTAGGCTTTTTACTTTTATTTAGTTCGCATTGTGCAACACATCTTTTGGTGTATATTTTCTATATTTCGCATTGTGCGACACGCATTTGGCGTAAACGTGCTTCGCCATTGAGCGACATTGTGTAGGAATTCTTTTCTACTTAAGCTTACAAGCCTTGTGATCAATTTTATTTCGCCTTTTAAAGACACACCGTGAGCGTAGACATTTTATTTTGCATTAATGCGAAATGCTTCATCTACTTTTCATCTAAAGTCTAAAATATTTGTGTATTACATTCATATGTTCAATTTTTGGCACATTTATTTTATTGAAAGTTTAACACCGCCTATTACAGGCTGCATTAACTGTTTTAAGTTTCATTTTTTCATATGGGCATATTATGGCATAGGTTTTAAAATTATTGAACTAATCTGTTTAGGGAATGGAAATCCTTTGACATCTGTCAATTTGTCCATTTAGGCAAATACTTTGTAATTATGACTATACAACCCTTTTTATCATCTAGAAATGCCTAAGCGGAAACCGTCAACTGCCACCTTTTCAAAGCGTAAGGCAGAATCTCCATCAAAGAGAAAACAAGAGTAGGATGGCGGAACTCCTTGCATCAGCAATCTCGCAGGATGACACTCTTATGAAAGAGTTGAAGGACTTCATAAACGAAGAACCATCAGTCGAGCCAGAAAATGAAGATGGTACACTTCACCCAGAGCATGATTATGTCCCATCATCCTCAGATTCTGATGATTTTGTTTAATTATTTGAATTTTTACGGCACGTTAACACATAATTGGCCTTATCATGCCGAATGCTATAATAGGCTTAAAATGTTATGTAAAACTTTGTAAATGACAATGAAAATGAGCCAATTAGATCCTAGAATACAAGTTTATCTCTTTCAAATAATCAATGATATTTTTTGATGGAATTGAATCAAAGAGTTCTTTGAGTGAATTAACACAATAAAATCTATTACGGGCCTGTGAAAAATCATGACATTCAAGAAGAAAATGCTTGACAGTAAAATTTTCATTACAACCTACACAGAAAGGGGCATTGTCATTCGTGAGGAGATGAGAGTGGGTAATTTTAGTGTGTCCAATTCGGCATCGAAGAAGAACTGTTTGATCATGGCGGTTTAACAGAGATAGAGATGGTGACACATCAAGAGATGGGATTATATCGTGAAGTTTATTAAAAACGGCATTGTCCCAATTTGCTTTCCATTCAGATGATACGAGTTTATTTATAGCCGGTCTAAAATCACAAGCAGGTAACAGTAAGTCAGTGTTTTGAAAATTGAATGATTGTTTAGCTAAGGCATCTACTTTTTTCATTTCCTCGTATCTCTTATACCTACATGACTTTGAATCCAAT